TGTTCCTGTGTGACCTGGTCTGGTGATCCTGCTCTGGCAGGGGTTGGACTGGATGAGCTTTCGAGGTCCCTTCCAACTCCTGAGAGTCTGTGACTCTGTGAAATCCTTTAGTGATTCTGGCTGCCTGGTTTGTTACTCGGAGTTCACACTTTTGTAGATTTACTGGGAGTTTTGTCTTTGAAGTTCACAAGAAAACAGTGGACTCTGTGAAATCCTTTAGTGATCCTGGCTGCCTGGTTTGTTACTTGGAGTTCACACTTTTTTAGATTTACTGGAAGTTTTGTCTTTGAAGTTCACAAGAAAACAGTGGCAGCTTTAGTTCTTTTTTTTCCTGGCTATAGTGCCCTGCTGCACAGTTCTTTTCTACCTTTTCCTTTAGCAGAGAGGTGACACATTCATCTATCGCTGGCAAGAACTGAGTATTTTTGCCAAGCCTTTGTAGTTTCAAGCTCTGTAGTGCTGCTCCTGTGCAGTATTTCAGCATGGACATCTTCAGAATTGCTGGAATACTCATGGCTATGATCTAAATTGCGTGACCTCTGGGTTTCCTTTTATCGAGTTCACTCTTTGTAACAAATAAGAACAAAAGCAAAACCCTCTTCATCCACAGAATTAGGTGGTTTCTGAAAAATTGCAAACTAAGCACGTTTGTGATTCGGTGCTGATCTTCTCATCTTGCTCGTGACGCTGTCGTTTCATTGTTTGAAATAGTCGTATGAGGTTGACATTCATCACAGTGGTCAAGGTTTTGCTCTCTTTAGCATGAGATACATTTGTTCTTAACGTTATTGCTCTTTGATTCTTACCTGACTTTTTTTTTTTTTGTAGATAAATTGACACGATGTCGAGCAAAAAGTCAAAGGAGGTGCCTCTACAAAATCCAAGGCATAGCCAAAGCAAGGATTCTACCAGGGGTATGGGTTTTCTCTGTTCTTACTGCTTTTTTTTGAGAAACATTTTATCATGAGTTGTTTGAAACTCTGGGGAGGGGTTTATAGAAAGGATTTTTTATATTCTTCTACCTCAATGTGGAAGCTAGGACCATGTGTTACATGGCTTCGTTTTTGCAGAGGTAGCAGTTTCATACCCTGATCCGCAGAGTATTTGCTGATCTGCATTAGGAATTGCCAGCCTATGACACAGTTGCCAAGATGGCACAGATAAAGACTTTTTTTTTTGAGTGCTGTAGAGGAGAAGCAGTGCAGGAACAGCAACTGGGAACTGTAGGCTCTTGGAAGAAATGAAGACGTGCCTGAGGGGCAGTTGCTCCTGACTCTTGCTGTGGTGAAGAGCTAAAGACACTGGAGTAGCAGCACTACATTGCCACTAAGATGGCTTGCAGCACTTCTGCCTCCCTGAGCTGGAGAAATCCTGTTGGGTTTTTACTGTCATGATTACTCTGTGATTTAGGAAAGGAGGGGGATGGGGAAAGAATAAAGAAAAGGAATTACAGTGCATCCCTCAGAGGAAGAAAGCTGCAGTCTGTAGAGCAGCTGAGTCGCGTGTCAAGTCTGTGGTTTGAGATCAGTCTTGTGATCTCCCCTAGGACAAAACGGCGCTCCAGAAGTTATTCTAAAAGTACAGATTATTACTTCATCTGTAATAGGATGTTACTGCTGATTGCTTCCTGCAATATGTTCTGTTTCTGTTAAATTACATGCCTTGTGAAACTGAGGTGTTCTGTAGACACGAAGCAAAGTTGTTTCTGCATTACTTTCCCTCTTTCTTCGTGTTGTTACATCTTACCTGAAATGAAATGGGCAGCTTTTTTACTGTAAGGAAGAGATTTTGTTGATTTTTTTAAACTCCCTAATACTCCTGCTTTCCATGGTTCTGATGCACGTTGATGTTTTGGATGTTGCGTTGTGGAAACCATTAGATTAGAAGAAAATCATTAGAAACTAAAAGGAGAGGGGAACTGAGGGAGTATTTTTAGAGGAGAACCCTGCTGCGTCCTACTGAAGTGGATTGTGCGTAGAGCGGGTGCTCTCTGTTGAGGTTCAAAGGCTGAGGTTGATTGGGACCTCCTGCTTGTTCTATGCAAACTTTACTTCTATTTTATTTGTTGGGTGTGCAGTTCAAAAAGACTGCTATTCAAAGTTGCTGTGTTCAGAGCTTGGTTTTTGAGTAGAGTCTTTCAATGACTGTGTATGCATGCTCATTTTACTGAAGAAGGTGATGGAAGGGGGAAAAAGATATAATTAAACCATAATTTAATGGAAAAACAGAAGGTATTTGGGTTGAGGTAGATAACCAGCTTTATTTATCACCTAAGCATCTTCTATAATGTGTGGTAGATTAGATTGCAAGTGTAATAATGCCTTCAGCCTAAGTTAGTGAACTCATTAAATGTTACATTGCATATTTTATTGCTATGTTAAGAGGACTCATGTCTGATAACAGCCTCTCATAGAGGAGATCTGCAGGATGGAATTGAGTCATTACAAGAACTTGATTAGTGAGCCCATGAAAATCGTTTTGAAGCAACGTTTTATTCCACTGTTTACCATGTACTAATGAGAAATGTATTTCTTTGTTTCTGCCCTGTAAGATCTAACTGCAGCACAGACTACTTTTTCCCAGAGTAAGGCTGCTGTAAGTACTCTTTCGTTTCTTCTTACTCCTTTTCAAATTGATTAATGGCTACAAAAGCTTTAGCCAAAGTATTATTTTGCTCAGTGATTGTTAAACTGTTAAACAGTTTCAAAACAGGGCAGGCAGTTGAGCACATGCATGTTGAACATTGTTGTATCCACACACAGTAGAAGACATTTTTACCCCAGCAACCTTAGTCTTAAATGTAGTAAAATCTACTAATTCTTGAGTGAAGTATTATCCTTCTATTTAAGAAGGTGGCGACTTCTCATTTTTCTGAAAACTTGAAAAAATAGCTCTCTCCTGCTTACCCAAACGAGTCAGAAACTGGGACAAGACCAGTGTATTTCATAATTTTCCATCTTGGAGCATTGGAATTGCTGTCTTTTTGTGGGAACTTAACTTAGGTCCTTAAGATACCACGTTAGTTTCTAAAACCTGGCTTCAGTGAAGTCAAACAGCTTGGGTTTTTGGGGAATTCATCTTTTTTCCATGGTCTTGTCTCTCACTTTTTTAATAGATGAGCGTCAATGTGGGGTTTTACGCGTGGGATCTTGTGTCATGCTCCATTTTGAAAAGAGTATTATGGAATTTATTCCAAGTGGAATTAATATTTCATTCAGGCCAAGCATTAAGGCTCTGAATGGCATAGTATTAATAATTTCTTAACAACACCCTACTCATGGAAACAAAACTATGCAGCAAAACCTAATTTAGATAATCTTTTTAAACAAATCTTAATAATCTTAAGTAGTTTCAGGCCATAAGGCTATACGGTTTTGCACCGTGAGCTTTGTGAAGTTGCTTTTGTGTGTGCTTTTATTCTTTATGAAAATGATGAGAAATATCTCGGGTCAGGGGGAAAAAAAAACCCTGTTGCTTAAAAATTGAAAATAATATTCTAATTTGCATTATCTTCCAATTCTAGCTACGACATATAGAGAACAAATTGGAAATAGCTCCCACCAGCATGGCTGTGTTTGATTCTGTCGTGGATGCCAAGAAGCCCTCTGCTAGCTCTAGCAGGAAAATAAGCAGAAAAAGTATGTATTGCTGAGGACATAACGTGTAAGGCAGGGTAAAGCCACTGCTGCATGTGGGGAACACTTGATTTCTCCTCCCCGCCTCCAAGTTGTCTCCCGCTAATGATCTTTATTCATAAAACTATAATTGCCTGGGAGAAACTAATGTAAGAAAGTGTGCTATCATAGCCAATTGGCTAGGGGGAGTGACAGGACTTTCCCAGTGCTGTGAGTGAGCAGTGCTGATCCCATTCTCATATCCTGTTTTTGTGGGGATTTTGGGGAACAATTGTATGTGCCTACAGTGCCCTCGCTGTTTATATTTTTTCATGATTGTCAGCTGTTACACCCTGATAGAATGCTAAATCTGATCCTTCCTTTATTGCATTTAAGGAGAGTGTTTGCTTATAAGCATTCTTGTTTTGGTGTTATTTAGAGCATTCTGGTAGCGTGCCCCTGCAGAGGAACAGAGAGATCGACCTCTAGTGGCAACGCAGTCAGCTTTCATTACTTATAATTAATATTGAAGCATTATTATCTCTCTTTAAATATGACCATTGTTTCAAGCACTTGCCACCTTGCCCCTAGTTGTTGAAATCAGCTTGTTGATAAAGAGACGGAGTACTTTAAATTCTATTTTGGAGTGCTGCTCACACCCAAGAAAAACTGTGTTCTTAACTGTTCAGCCTCAAGAGCTTTCTCTTTCTGGAGAGATGGGTCCATAGAGGATTCTTTGGTTTCTGCTTCAGCTTCCCAGTCTTCCAGCCACAATAAATCAAGCAAGGAGAAGTCCTCACGCAGCCCACTTCGAACAACCACTCTTGAAAGCAATGTGAAAAAAAGCAACCATGTGGAATTTCGTGACCCGTTGGCTTCATACAGGTTAGTGCCGAGATACTTGACTTTTAAAGAAAAATATGGTAAGATCGGAATTAGGATAATAGTGATGTTTTTGACAGCTCCTCAGAATTGCTTTGCTTCCTGCCCTCATCCACCCACATGAGCAGCATATGATGCCAGACAGAAGTATTTTCCTCTTAAAAAATGTTACAAATTCATTTTTTGTTCAGAGAATGAGTTTAAAGTCAGACGTGTTGAAATGGGGCCAGATCATCACGCTGATGTGGCTGTGGCCTCAGGCTATGGCTTCATAGATCCTATAGGTATTTCATTTCAGTAATAAGAGCCAAAAATAGTATTTCCTGATGCTTTTCCAACCATGTGTTGTGTGTTCTTCAGCACGTGTTCACAAATGTATTGTCATAAGACAGCGCAGAGCAAGAACATCTAGGACTAAAGATGCGTTCAGTCTTTGTGTGTGTGAGAAACTCCTATAAGAACAGCTGTGTCAGGAAGAAAAAGTGGCAACAGAGTATTGCAGGCCATAGAACATGGGGTTTGAGGAAGGAAGGATAATATGGAAAGCCTGTTTTTCCTAGCCTACCTTATACTGTAGTGAATATAAGATGCCTCAAAATCTTTCCGAAAGAAAGAGCACCTGCAGCAGAAATAAACTAGTTATAACTCGCTGTAATATCAGAGCCTAGAAGACCTTTACCATAACTTCAGTTCCTTGTGTCTTATAAGTAGTAGCTGTTCTTTGCACAGGCCTTATCCCTGAGGAATAGCTTCACTAAGTTGATAAGTGTTTTATTCGTTTCTAATATTGCATTTTTATATTAGAATATAGCATTTTTTTCTAAATGTTCTCCCAGTGAAGTCAAATTGTTGGTAACTGATTAGAGTGGATTTGGGACAGTGGTATTCTTTTTAATTCCACTGTATCTCCATTCATAATGGTTATCCTAACATCTAAGTTTTGATCTCCTTCTCATGTCAGCTGTGAGTTTCTTCTCACTCATTGTTCCTGGGAGGCTGACGTGAATCAGCTGTGTAATCTTGGGTCAGTTTTATTAGTTGAACAGCTCTGTTGTCTGCCCTATCTTGAGTAACTTGCATACATCAGATACTCATTTTAAAAACATGTATGAAATTTAACCGACTTCAGGGACAAGAAGAAAATGACAGTAGCTAGGCTTATGCTCTTACATCCAATTTTGCAATAGCTTTCAGAATAGCTTTCTTGAAAAGCTTTCCCAAAAGACTGTATGGCATTGGGGGGATTAATTTAGGAATTAACATCAGAGCTGCTACGTTACCACATAACTTTGAGAAGAGCCTGTAGTCAATGCTTTAAGTGTACATAGGAAAACAAAACCAGAATAATAGGTAGAAGAATCTCATGCGTATGTGTACATTTGTGTACGCTTTTGATGAAATCTTGTGCGATTAAACCACTCAAATTTTATCTTGATTGGTAGTGGTTACTACACTATATAACAGCAGTGTGCTACTAGAGAAAGACAGGTAGACATTTCAAAAGTACTGTGTTGTTACCTGGCTTAAACGAATTCTGTAAACAGCATTGCTGAAGAAGCAAGCGAGGTAGCTTAGGTGCCGGATTTCCACATCTTCAGTCCCCCATCAGTAAAAATACTAAAGACATTTTTGTCCTAAAAACATATGTACCATGAGTCTATTCAAATACAGAGTCTGCTTTTCTGTGGAAAAATCCTAAGAGAACCTTAATTTGTTGAATGTCTGTGCTCCCAGTAAGATTTTAATTTGTTGCAGTACAAATTTGTTTGCAGTTTGTCAGTTCACTCTGAAGTTCTTGACAGGGGCTTGCCTTTTTAATGCTAAATTCAGGGCAGGTATTTTTGGTGTAATCTATTTGTTTTCTCGGCCAGCAACTGTGCTGTCAAGGAGCTGTGTGCGTACATTGCTTTGTTTTAGAGAACATCTGTTAATTATGCTTCTCTGAAGTTTTACACTTGATATTTGTTTAAGCCTTTTTTAAAATTAAATGGTGATATTACTGCTTGCTGATTTTCTACATGCCCCTGTCCCAGCTTTTCGATTTTATATATAGTCCTGTTCAGGCAGAGAGTGCAGAAGGTGAAATTTTGAAGAGAAATATCTTTCGTGTTTGTCAGACTTGCACTATTAAATGTATGATGATCAAACTTTAAAATAAGCTGCCTTTAAAGTGGAGACAAGGTATAGGTAGTAATTCTTTTAGTTAATGAATATGCTGATTGCTGGGTTAGAAGGTCCTACGGTTGTGTTTCTCATGGTCACTTGTTTTTTTTTCCCTTTTTATTACATCAGGGATACTCATGGTTCTCTATCTTATCACAGTTCCAGCCAACTTGAGGCCAAGCAGCTGCTCTCTAGTTTGGACTTCAGTGAAGCAGAAGGGAAGACTGAAATAAGAGGCCGTATGGTACATGACCAAGATGAGCAGGATCTACACAGCAGAGATTTTGGAAGCCCTCGTTCTTCTGTTGCAGATGAGACTGTTGTGAGGTATTTGAATGACCGACCAGCAATTGATGCCTTGCAGAATAATGCGGTGTTTCTGAAAGTTGCAACATCTGCAACATTGGCGAAGGAAAAACCTAGTGGCTCCAGAGGAGATGACAGTAGCACTAAAACTCCTCAGAATAACACATCCCAGGACAATGAACTGAAAGTGACTTCCCCTTCTGCCACGAGAGTTTCTAGTCCCCATCGGCTGGAAGTCTTGAAACGGCGGCAGCATGATGTGAAATTCGAGAAGCTGAAGGAGCGGATTCGAAAGCAGTGGGAGCATTCTGAAGACCTAGGTGGCAAAAGGCAGCACTTGGGATGTGCTGAGCAACCTGTCGCGATCACAAACGTGGAGAATGCAGTGACTCCCAAAGTCAGGAAGCTGGCAGCTGCACCTGCTGCGCCATCGTACAAAGGTATGGGGGTACACAATCCCTCCCTGTTGGTTATACGTGGTGAAGGAGCAGAGTTCAGCTCATTGAGCAACATGTCAAACTAAAGGTATGACTCAGAGCTGTGTTTGGGCAATACAGCAGTGGATAGCCTGGTTTGATCGCAGGTATGGACAAGAAACAAAAATTCTTGCCAATTTACAGAATTGTGGGTTCTTTTGAAGTTCTTCCTGTCATCTTACAAATCACTTTAAAGAAGAAGTTCACTCTATTAGCACTGGGGTTTATTTTGGGTTTTTTTTATGGTCTCAGTGGTTAGCAACACTGGATTGATTGAGAAAGCATTTTGTGTTTTTAATAATCTCTTCTTCGTTCACTCTGCTGAGACAATGTCATTGAACTGTGAGCAGGTGGCAGACTGGTATATTGCTTTCTTCTAATTCAGCATTAGAAATTCAACTAGTTTCTTTCTTACTTGGCAGTTTCCCATACCTTCCATCCTGAACAAGCATTATTTACATTTTACACAGTTCTTTTAAACTCTTAAATTGTTTGCTTTCAGGTTTCAGCACTGTCGAAACAAAGATTCGCGCTCCAGATGGAAAGATCTGGCGCAAGGAAGAATTCCACATTAGTCAGGAGCTGCACAGAGATGTAGCGCCCAAGTTAACAGGTGAGACACAAACTGAATTGATGCAGCTACACAACCTCCTCTAAAAGGCAGATACGTTTATTTTGTACAACTCTACAAAGTCTAGGAAAACAAAAAACTTGAAGGAATGAGTGTTAAATGTATTGTACTTCTCTCTGCGCGAAGAGTAACTTGTTGAACGCTAAAATTAAAATACTTTTAATAGAAAGGCAGTTCTGAAAAGAACCAAATGATGGCTTTTCTTTGAAACAGGAATTTAAAAACAGAAGTCTTTGTTAGAACAATTTTTGTTTAATTTTGCACCTTCTTTATACATGTTTGCATGAATGAATGTGATTTCCTGTTTAAAAGGACAAAACTCGACTGCTTTTTGGTTTTGCTGAAGCCTGTGTTGTCGCATGGGAACAATTTTGGTATTTGTTGCCACCTTTAACACTGTTAACATGATTTGTACACCATGTATTGAAGCCTGAGTTCTACTTTCAATGTAGTGATAACAAATTGTCAGTCCTGAAGCTGCTGTGGGAATTGTTAGCGGTTTAGTTGGAACTTAGAGATAGCTAAAGGGGAGATGAGGGGCATCTGCTGTGAAAAGTCTCTGGGAGTACTTACTGAAAACGCAGTAAGTATTCTGCAGTAAAACAGGTATGTCTTCAGGCATGGGTGGTAGCGAGATTATGTGTTATTAGATTGGTTTAATATCTCTGAACTTGTAGAACTTTAGTGTTTTATATCAGAATAATCAAAGTCTTGAAGTTCTTGGAGAAATTTATGTCCCAGAGGTTACTACGCAAGGATTAATTTAAAGGTCTTCCCTGAGGAGTGGGAGAACAGCTAGACCAGAAGAAGGTTTAAGAAACCTTTGAAATAATCTGGATTTTATTTCCTTTACAACTCTTTTACCTTCAGTCTTGTAAGGCTTGGATAGGATATCAGTGGAGGGACTATCTGGCTTTGCAGTAGTAAAGTAACAGAATGTTACCTTTGGGGTTTATACCATGTAAAGGTGTAGGAGAGAATGTTGACTGCCTAAAAGCTTAGAAAACTGCTACTCGTTCATCTTTGCTTAATGCTCTTTTGAAAAACATTAAATATCAGTGTTGCAAAATGACAGCACAGCAAAAAAGGTCTATTTTAGGTGAGGAACTCATTTAGCAACGCAGTATTGTGATGCTTAAGAGTATAAGCGAAGATGATTGAAAAAAAGGCTGTATGTTTGCTTGACAGTTACACTGCTAAAAGACAAAAACTGTAATCTGTGCTTTGTGTCTTCAGAAGTATTGCCCCCAGACCCAACCTTTATTAATTTTTCACTCCGGAGCACTGCACCACCACTGACAGCTCTTGTCTCTCGGTGACCTAGGGCTTTTTGATTTGCTAGGCTGGTTACATAGGCTGGTTACAGTGCTGGTGCTGTAAGGTTGACTCCCTTTTGACTGACTGAGTTGCAGGATGGGGAAGGGATCAGATGAATAAAAAGAAAGAGAACGGAAAATAAAATCTCCTGAGAGCCTTTAGTTTTGCTGCTTAGGAGTTTGCATATTAAAAATATTTTTTTTTCTCATTGGTCAAAACATTGGAGACTGGATGAAAATGTGATAAGATTGTAAACCTGTTGGTGTCTTTGTGTGTTGATAGTATAGTGGCTGGTATGGAATTAGGCTTCAGTTTTCCTTTGCTTGTACAGCTTGACAAGGACCTGAGAATTTTTTTCTGGAATCATTAAAAACAATTCAGAAAGAAAAGCCACTTCTTCTCAGGAAAATTGTTTTTCAAATACTCTGTTGAGCATCGGTCCATGAAAGTAATGCTAGATATCTAAATACTCTTAATCTACACTTTTTTTTAGTTTTTATAAGCATAATATCAATGATTCATGAGCACTTTATTTTTGTTCGTTGAACAAGTCCAATTAAAAAGGCATTTGGGTCGTGTGTTCAATGGGCTTCTGCCTACAAGAGGAAGAAGCTGTGTGTGTTCAGCCATACGCCTGTCCTGGTGCCCCACGTATAGCAGCTGTAATTAGGCTAATGGATATTGTATAGAATCCAAGCTTCCAGTAATTCTGTCTTAAAGATGTTTAGGATTTGCTGTACTAGAACAAAATTGCTGTAGTATGAGTGGGTTGAGCGGGAAGCAGTCTGCAGTTTCCTGGTACCAGGAAGGATCTGTTTGTCACTGAAAGCGGCGAGGAGACAATCTGGATTTTTGCTGATGCAGTCACTGGTACTTGATGCATTGATTCTTCTTGTCAGCCTCAAAAAAGACTGGAAAATTTGGAAGGAAAGGATATTGAGAGGGAGAAAGTCTCCTAAATTTTCATTCCCACATCCTTTAATACAACCTGCTCTTCTGTCTCTGGTATTTCTATGGGCATCCATCAGAGAGTGGATTCAGCTGAAATTAAGGGCTGTAAAAGTGAGCTTTATTATTTAAATGCTAATACTTCGGATCTATCTGTGTGGGGGTTGCATCCTGAGCTTATTTTAGGTTATCTGATCACGTTCTTTATAGAGAAGAGAAGCACGCAAACAAAGGTAATATTGGCCTTAGCTACATGTTTTTGTTGGGATTAAGAGAAGAGCATCTTCAAGGCATGTAAATTAAAGGGCTTTAACAAAATCTTTGAATGTGTCCAGTGTAGACTGCTGAGACTGAGGATACAGCTTGCCTTTTTGTATTGTAAATGAGGGCTTAGGTGATACAGAATAGTTATTCTATAGTTATTCACTGTTATTCAACAATAGTTGAATATTCAATAGTTATTGAAATATTCAATAGTTATTCAGTAGTTATAGTTGATATTGATAATAGTTGAATATTCAATAGCTATTGGACTATTCAATAGTTATTCACTGAGTGAATTCTGTGACAAGTTTTGCAGAAAGTAGAGCACATGGGTATCCCGTCCTTCGTGCTCTAGCGTGGAGGCAGCGAGTGAATGTGCTGTCAAGTGTTAATACGGAGGCAGCAGCCCGTGTGTTTCAGGAGTGAAGGGACTATGCGTTCTTGTGGAACATTAATACTGTAAAGAGAACCAACAATTGTTCCTGTCAAATTGTCAACATTTCTTTTAAAATTTGAAGTGGACTTTGTGAGGACCTGTTATGGTGTTGCTGTGCCTTTGCTGTGCGTAGGTAAACAGCACTTAGTTCAAAATTTTCATGCTATGAGGATTTTAAGATGCTGAACTGGGAGTAATAAATCTAGATATATAATCTGGGAGAGTCCGGTGAATTTTATTGTTTCTCTGAGTTGCATTTTTTCAAGGTAAATGTTGAAGTAAGCTTGTTATTCTGTGTTCTTTCCTGTGGGATATCACTTAACAGCTTTTGTCTGTTTCCAGAAGGTTCAACAGTGAAAGGAAAACCCAGTGAGAGAAACAAAGAGAAAAAACCAACCAGACTACTGCGTAAAGTGCAAAAACTGTCACAGCTGTCAGGTCCAGAGTCCAAACAAGGTGATTAGCTCTACTGTAGAGGGAAGCCTGTCCACGTCCTTCAGAGATGAGGCTGTATGCTGCATAGGGGATGTGTGTGGTTTTGTTGTTGGTTGGCTGTGTGTGCTTTCCTTGGTTTATTTTAATTTTCTGGGTGTGCTGCAGGGAAAGTTGTTCTCTTGTATGATTTCTCAGTGGGGAAGCAGAGAACAGGATGTCCTCCTGGCCCTTCTCTAGCTGTTGTTCTTCTACGTCCTGTGTCAGGTTGTTGCTGTCCTGCACCTTCAGTTCTAGCTTGTGCAGTGACCCATAATCAGTAAACACTTTGTTGAAGAAGGCCTGTTTAGAAAAAAAAGCTGCTTTTAAAACATTACTACAAAGCTGTATTGAGAGTGAATATGCATCTCTGCATGCTGTAAGTTGGGAAGCTTCATATGGATGTTTTGTGGTAATGAATGCTAATACTTTAAGTGATAAATATGGATTTCCTCCTTCCTGTGCTGATCACTTCATACTTAAGGAACTATACTAAACTAACTGACGTATTTGTGACAGTCCCAAGTGAGGAAAGAGGACAGAGATTGCTGCAGGTTTTAATGACACTGGTTATTCTCCGTGATGGATTAAATGTGAGAGGAATGGTGGCTTGAAATCCCTAGAAGATAAGAACCAGACATAAATGGCATATCCGTGATGGACCATCCTCTTCCAGTTGTAGCAGTAAGGAACTGCTTAACATAGCCAAGGCTATAAATAGCCACAGCTCATGTTCTGCGCTGTTAGTGTGTTTTAGTTCCAGCAGCTGACTTAAAAGGCAGTGTTAAGTCTCTCTGAGGTCAGCAAAAGAACCCCTTTGGCTGATACATCTTTTTGAGAGGCTCGTAGCAACATGTTTCAAGTGACAGATTTATGAAATACTTGGATCGCTTGTAATGCAAGCAGGGAGCACTGTTAGTAAATGAATGAATGGTGGGCTACAGACTTCTGACTGAACAGCTTTCCTACTCCTGGTTTAAAATTAAAAAAGAAAGAAGGGATGGGGATTGAGGACTGGGATTACCAAAACACTATTGGTGTTCTGCCCTGGATTTCACTTGAAGTTGCTTTGGTACTAGGTCTTCAAAATCCTGTGGGGCCCAGAGCACAATCCCTTTCCTGTTTGTCTGTGCTGTGTTCATGCTGCAGGCTCAGTGGGTTTGTTTAGGCAGTGCTGTCAGAGTTAGAAACTGAAAGGGAATGGTTACAAATCAGCTGCAAATTTGGTATTCAGGTTAGGCATTTTTCTAGCAATAAAATACTGCTAAATAGTCTGAATTAGGTTATTAATGCTCTTCCTTTCTATATGATGCTTTTCTCCAAGGCTCTGTAAGATCGTTCTTTCAAAAAAAAATTAATAATATTGGAAATTAGTGGGGTGAAAGGCGAGTTGAATAAACCTAACATTCAATATAACCAATGTTGGGTAAAGATGCCACTGTACCCAGTTCTAATAATGTAATTATTTCTAGGAAGATAAAATAATACTAGCATACATTTTGATTTGGTTTCTGTCACCTGAAGTGTAGCCTGTTCTTGAATTCGGTATCAGCTAATAGAGTTATGTCTTAACTATTTCTCAGTCATGATACAGAAAACCAGCTGAATGACAGTCAGTCAGTGCTGGCGTGGAACAATTGCTGCTTGGTATTTTTTAAGCTCTCACAAGACGCCTGTCTCAACAAGTAATTATCTGTAAAAATCTCCTAACTTTTCTTGCTGTTTTCTGGAATTATCAGCTAATATTCTTTTAATGTGAAGATGAATAATTCTTTTAATCTCCCACCTTATGTTCTTATTATTACAACATTTTAGATCCTTTTGTCTTATTTAAGCGGAGATGAACAGCTTCTTCTTAGTCCCCTCCAAATATTTCCCCTCTCTCACAGTAACATTTGTTTATACATTTTACACCTGTGTATCCCTTTTTTCTTTTTCTAAATCAGTTTTTATAGGGCTTTAATGTGCTACAGTACGTTTGGGCGTTGTATGTTGGCGTGAAGCACTGACGGTTGTGTGATTCAGCAGTTGAGTGTCCTCATGGTACATCACTGTCAGGACTCTTCTGTATAACTGCAGCCACACCGCTTGTGCAAAACTGGATGCTATAGAAATGATTCAGAGTTGCAATAAATACTCCTTTTTGATATGCTGGAAAATTCATTGAGTGTTTGGCTTTTGTTTCTTACTTACTGTGCAGGTGGAAACTATGTCATAAGCCCTTCCTCCTGGCGGGAGGGACTAAAGCTAGCAAACAAGATACTGGGTCCAGCTCCCAGAATAGAACTGGACAGAAGAGACCTATTGAGTGACAGAACAGGACAAGAGCGAGCTGCCAAGGCCGGTAAGTTGTACTTTTATCACTGGACTTTTTTCATTTTACTTCATTTATTATATAAGATTTCATGTCCATGGAATAAATCAATTTTCTGAGATAGAAAGTAATCAATTTCTTACTAAAATAACTCCTGTTTTTAACCTGGAATTTGAGGGGGGATAATTTTGCTCACATCCATGGTTGGGATGCATAACCTCTCTTCCTGGGTTGGATTATGAACTTTTCTTGATGTCATGGGAAGCCTTGATGGGCAGCACATGCTGCAAAGGTGCTCAGGAGCCCTGGAAAAGATGTGAAATAGATTACAGCCAAAAAAAAAGGGATCACCTGCAATCTGTCTTTGTCTCTTGAAGCTAATGGGGAAAGGAATGACTAGCCGTGGTCCACAGGCCAGATAAATTTTCCACATGTGCTGCCTATAATAAGTGAGCTAAGGTTGCTCATCCCTGTTTTACAGGAATTGTGGTTCTTCCAGATACTATCTAATGTCATCCACGGGCATCATGAATCTTCATTGATTCTTCCACCAAACCTTTTCTGAATTTATCCAGAATCTCAGACAGGGCAAGTAAGGGATGGCGGTAGCTGCCGTGCTGCTTATGCCTGTGAGGTGGTGAGGCCTAAGAGTATAAAGAAACTCAGTCTAAGCAAAGATTGCTATATTCAGACTGACACTGAGTGAAGCAAAGGCACGTTTACAGTGAAATCTGCACTCCTCCCTTATTCTCACTTTGCAGCTGTTTCAGTGATGCCATGTAATTCCCAAATTTAATTTTTACCTGCAATATTTGACAAGTCTTATTCTTTAGCAGGCTGTATTGAAAGGACAGGTTCAGATTCTAAACTGGATGTTACCCGTAAAACCTCTTTAAGAAGTTCTGAAAGATCAAGGAGTGAAGTACAGTCTGAGAATAACCTGCAAAACCTGGAAACTGTTCTCCCAGAGGACCAAGGAGATCGTACCTCTGTAAAAAAGAACTTCCTGCCCGTGGAGATACGTGGAATTCTCGATGACTTGCAGTTGGACTCCATGAGTACAAAGCAAGAGAAAGATGTGGAAAAGCAAAATTGGAAATCTGCTTTGCCGATTCAAAACACCAGGAGCCAGAGTCTAACCAAAAGGAAACCAGACAAGACAGCTACTAGTGAGGAGCCTCAGATGATCTCTAAGAAACGTTACTATGATGCAGATGAGGTTCGTCGGTACATCATCAGACAGCAAGAGGAGAGGAGGAAGAAGCAGAAGGAAGAGAAGAAAGCCCAAAAGGAGGCAACTGAACAGAAGAATAAAAGACTCCAAGAGCTCTACAGGAAGCAGAAGGAGGCTTTTAATAAAGTGAAGAATGTGCCTCCTCCTGAGCCTTCAGCAGACAAACGGCTACAGGAGACCTATTCTAAACTACTGCTGGAAAATACGTTTTTAGAAGAGCCACCTCAGCTGCCTACAGTGCAGGAGACACAGGTATAGCTGATTCACTAGCTTAATGTGTTGCAGTTGTTTGCAGGCATAAGAGGTCATATGTTTAGGAAGGTCAGTGCTTGTCCTGGTCTAGTTATCAGTTAAGAAAAAGATACAAAGAAAGCTGTGTTTTGATCTGGAGCCTCCTTGCTACTGGCTGCTTTTTGGTACAGCAAGGCCTACCAGAAAAGTGAATGGAAATCATCTTTCTGTTATAAATAGAAGCAGAATTCTGGATATTAGCTAACAGCAGCTGTAAAAACTTTAACTGAAAACATCGATTAAACTGTGAATTGAAGAGCTTTGTCCGAAGTTGCTTTCAGTCAGTGGTAAGTTTAAGTTAAATAGGTTTGCTAATCAGAAACTGAATATGAAAGAAGATAAGACTTTAGGAAATATTTTTTTACTGAAAGAGTGCTCAAGCACTGGAACAAACTGCCTGGGGGAGTGGTGGAGTCACCATCCCTGGAAGTGTTCAAAAAACCTGTCTATGTGGCACTGTGGGCATGGTGGTGTTGGGTTGACGATTGGACTTTCATGATCTTAGAGGTCTTTTCCAACCTTAATGATTCTATAATACTATAAATATAGGGTAAAAGACTAGTATCAGTTTGATATGTTCAGCTGAACTAGTTCAGTGTGTGAGAAAAACTTTTTTCCCAGTACATTCTGCTGAGACAAAACCGTAACTGTTCTGTGGTTTTAAGTCTTTGTGTGGTAGGAAAGATGTGATGCTATGCTGCAAAATGTAAGCCTTTTCCATTTTAATGAGACAAGAGCTTCTAAACTCCTGCAGACTTTTGAAAATGCATTTTCCTGGTTGTTTTCATTTCTAGCCCAGACCTGGTTATCAACCATCTGGGGAATCCGACAAAGAAAACAAGGCTCAAGAGCGTCCTCCTAGTGCATCTTCAAGTAGTGACATGTCGCTTTCAGAACCGCAGCAGCCATCACTGAGGTGAGCCCTTGGGGGACTTTGGAGGGAGGTTAAAATACTCAAGTTTTCATCTCTGAGAGGTGAAAATAAGCTAGGATTGTAAGTTCGTGTTCTATTGAGAGAAATTGTCTTTTGTGGCAATTAAAATGTTTCCTTGCAGTAAAGAGGAAGCTGATGCAGGAAAGCATATGAAAATGTTGGTTATGGGTATTTAGAGAGTCCATAAATAATTAAAGTGAATGGTGGTTGCTGTTAAGCTTTTGCTGATATCGATGGGACGTGTGTTTCATATTATATTTCGTGTGCCATTGCCACTGGGCAAGAGAAACTGATCATATGAATATGATTTTTTCATGTTTGATTTGTTCAGTATTTCATTTAATCTATTGTCTTGGATTCAGGCCTCTAGTTACCATCTCTGAAGTACCAAAAACCTCTGCTTCTGCTTGGAACTAGCCTTTTCCTGCTGCTTTCCCCATTTTTAGTTGTTCAGTGTATTATCAAAGCTTTTCTTTACTGCAAGTCAAGGTGCCTTACATATAAATATAAATACTTAAATATAAGGAACTAAAAATCATAAAGTTTCTTGCATATCCATGATATTCCTGTTGTCCAGGTGTTTCTTCATATGTATTTACATAATGAATGTCTGCTTCTTAAATATGTACTTGCTTCATTATCCGTACCTTAACTTGGTCAAATCCGCACTGACTTTGTAAATTCAGTGAGACCTGTTTCCGTTCTGGAAAAGTTCAAAGAAGCACGAGGAATGCTATGTCATGCTGTGTATGGAGTAGGTAATAAGTGTTGTTAGTGTAACATCATAAGGAAAAAATGTAAGTCCTAATAGTAAGGGAGAGATGAGAGATTTATTTGGAGAGCCTCATAGTAAGCAGAGGAGCAGTGGTTTTTGTGAGAGACTTCCCACATTTCTTAGTATTCAAGTCTGTTCAAGTGATATTAGTGAAGGAAGGTCTCTACAGGGCTCCTGTCATGCAAATGAGGGCTATCTGGAAATAAAAAAGATGCCTTGCAGAACTTCAGAACTTACAGAACATGTATTTCCAGTACTCTTTTTCTCTAAATGTTCTTCATGGCTACCCTAAGTGACGGCTCCTGTGAAACGTGGGCTGGGTTCAACTGAAGAGGAAAAGCTGAGGCTAAGAAATTCCAAGGAAAAAATAAGATGTTTCATCCCTTTTGAAATTGGGATTTCAAATTTGGAAGGTGCTGTGTTGTTTGGTTTTTATTTAAGTAGCATTCTGTAACTCTTTACTGTCCCTTTCCCTGCCTGTAATTCCACCACAAGGTATTTCTTCCTAAACATAAATCTGTGGCAATAATGTTTAAATCTAAACCAACAGTACTCGTGTAAGTCATCAACTTAAATGTTGACTTTTAATTTCAGGAATGATTTGATGGAGCCTCCATGGGCACAGCCAGACAGGTCGAGCCCAAGAGTCAAGCTCTCTCACCCGCAAGCTCTCATGGTCTCAAGTGGAGGCCCTTCCTCCCAGCACTGGAGTCTGGAGCAGATGGACCTTTTGTCGAAGCAGTGTGATGTGATGTTGGCAGGCAGGAGAAACCATGCTTCGCCTGTAAGATCTCTGGCTTTGATGCCTCAGCCATACCTGAATTCACCTGCTGCACAGCAAAATCTCTTAGTAAAACTTACTATTAATCAGAGCCAATTAGATCGAATTGATGTTTTGAAGACTGCAGCTGCTTCCCTTTCTGGCAGGATTGCAAGCGAAGCCAAAAGGTTGGCTGGGGCTGGTCTCAATTACAGTACTGTGCAGATCTCAGACCAGGAATGTGTGCAAGAAAACCAGGATGATGGGCAGTGGGCAATGGCTGTGAGTTCTCCTGTGAAGGAAGAAAATGAAGATGCTTTTTCAACCAGAATTCAAAAAATGTTGGTTACCTGTGTGTCTCATACAGCCTTTGATGACAGCCTTGCTGAGGCAGGCAACCTTAGTGAATTTAAAAAGCTCCCTGAGACGATCAGGCCTCATACTGCCGCAGTCAGCCTTGGAATAAAGTGCCCTGCTGCTAACAGGCATGAGGGGCTACTAGGACATTTACCTCAGAGACAGACTGACTCCTCAAGGCAAGAAAACCAGGCTTATGCTCCAAACAAAGCTGTAATTCCTCATGAGTCCAGCATCGACTCCATCAGTGAAGGGCCTCTCCTGAGTGACGGAAGCCTCTCTGAAGAGGAAGGAGGCCAGCACAAGCAGTTGCCACTGAAGATGCTGGAGACTTTAAAAGAAAAGGATTTCTGCATTCAGGAGAGAAATGCTTTTGAACCCATAAAGGAGTTTCAGAAAGAAGCCGAGAAGTATTTGCCACTTTTCACTCGGACAAGTGACACGCACAGCAAGGGACCATGGGAGGATCTGGCGAAAGGAAGTCCCCACAGTGTCATCAACATCTTTGCGAAAAGTTACGAGCTTCGTGGGAAAGGTAAAAATGGAACAAATTCTTGAAGCTTTTGTGAATTACTATTTTCCCAGTCTTACTACTCCTCAGACTTTATGCTTCACAAGTGAGGAATGTCCTTTTAGATGTCTCAAACATGAATCTGTGTAAGGCTTTCTCACTTTATTTTTGGATGAAGAATTATTCCTCCCCCCTCTTCTTTTGCCTTCTCGTCTAAGGAGAACTAGAAGAAAAACAAAACAAAACAAAACAACTCCACACTTTTGGGCTGGAAGAAGATTGGTGGGGGGTTTTTTTATCAGATTGCTCTGTATTTCTAGATCAGTAGCTAATTCATATGTTGGGTTATATGCATTAAGGACACCCGTAGTTCCAGAATTGTGAATGTAAAGTTTACATTTATTGTACCCAGAATTGCATACGAAATCTAAATTGCCCAGAGTGCATTTGGAAACAGTTCTCTCCCTCATGGAGAACAGACCCTCTGGATTGGAATGTGCACCCTCCAGCTATAGATGCACTTAAGATTCTCTGTAATAACACTTTATTCCTGGTTCAGTTCAGTTCAGTTCAGTGCGTGCTTTTCACAGCACTTCACGGCATAAACCTGAGTGCTTGCATATATTCTACACAAGAATAATATAGCTTTACCATATTATTAGAAACGTGTTCTTTCCTTTGCATCTTTGCTCATGTGAGTTATTCGACAATGTCTCAAAACAGTGCCACATTGAAAACTTCTGTAACAGTGTTAATTTTGAGAAGGTAAGGTTTTGGAATATGGGTAAGGAAAGTCTTAATTCCATTTCCAGTGTTGGTGTCTTAGGACGTGCTTTACAAGTGTCTCATGCAGGACATTCAATTTGATTTTAATTTCTTGCACAAATGCATTCTTTGTTTTGTGAGTACTGTTTCTCTTGCTTCAAGTTCCTTGTTTTGAGGAGGAATGTTTTCTGAGCAGCTCACTTTTTATCTTGTGTTTTTTTCTGGCTTCTTTTTTTCTGCATTTTATTTCCCTTAAACACGATTGCATTTAAATTTTCTGGAGATTGCCTTGCTCTCAAGCACTGTGCTCTTCAAGAAGGTTTTACCTGGAATGTGTTAATGAAACAGAGTATTCGATAATTTACCAAAAGGTGAAGACCGTGCTTGTTACGTTGTGTTAAAACTTCCATGGAGTGGCTATGCTGCTGTTCTCCTCATGTTCTTGAGTGTGAAAGGAACTCTTTGTAACTCATGATTTGTAATTCCTGCAGCTTTATTACCTGTTTGCACGTTTGCATTTGGTATCTTTTTTGTCTTTTCCCTTCTTTGTCCACGCTTTAGTGTTCGATGAAAGGTCAAATGGAAAGTCTTCCCTTCTGCGTCCTTTACTCCCTGCCATGAGCCCTCCAGAGAGCGCGGTTTCTTACGAAGATGATTTTGCCTCGTCACACAGAAGCAGCACTTTAACGGGCAAAAAGATTGCACGTGACCCCAGGTGTGTGAGACTTGTAAAAATCGTACGTCTTGTAAAAAATGCTTTCTCTCTGATTAAATTTCTTGATAGGTCTCTTACCCCCATATTTATAAATCTTTTGTAATCCTTTATTGAAAAGCACTCATATTTCTCTCAATTTATCGTCAACAACTGCATGCCCAGAGGTTTTCTAAAGCGCACTCATATTTGGAGTCATTCCTATGTTGTTGAAGTCCGTAGTCAAAGAGCTCTTAAGAGTTGGCACAGGAAATATGATTGTTACCCATCTTTCACTGTTTCGTATTGTCAGAACTGTGCTTCAGTATGGTCAGTATCATGTCGAACTTCCTACTCTTTTAGCTGGTGTAGTTTTTAATCTCAAAAGCAGTGCTTTTCGAGATGGGCTAATGAGTGCAGTTGTAGCCATCTGTCGCTAATTCAAAATGTGGTGCATTTCTTGTGCACAGTGTAATGTGGGAGTTGAAATTCCTTAGTTAGTCACTGTCAATGTGCTCCTCTTTAGTGGTACTGGCAGCAGTAGTTCAAGCGTTCAGGAAGAAGTTCCTAGTAGGAGGTCTCCCCATGAACCTCGATCTGCAGAGCTTGCTTCTCAGCATTCGCCTGGACCGCAGTCTGCAGCATCTTCTCGCTCATCTGCTTCCTCTAAAAAGAGAGGGAAAAAGGAACGTAAGTGCAGTACTGGACCACAGGGTATTTTTTATTTTTAAGTAGGTTTTAGTGTTTTCTTGGTCTGAAAATTGCAGTCTTTCTACATATCTAGAAAGTGTAATCTGATACGGATAGGAGGATTTATTTATTCCTCCAGTGTTTCCTTCCTAAATTCTTTTTGTCTCTGATTATTTTCTGTCCTCAAAACACACTCATCTGAAATCAAATAGGCAAGAGGTTATTACCAGTATTGAAAATGTTTCCTTTCCTAAACCGGCCTTCTAATGAATGAGTTAATCCTAATATCATGTGAAAACTATCCTACAGATTCTGTACTGAGGAAATTCAAATAGGCTGCTGAGAAATCTGAGTTATGGGCACGTTTATGAAGGCAACAATAAGTTTGCCTGTGTATGCGTCATCTTTGGATCAGGGACAGTTTTCATAGTGCATAAATTAATAAATACCTTCCTTTAGTAACTTAAACATTGCGAAAATGTGAAACTTGATATTGGTACACTCTTACTATATAAGCAATGGATGGCATAAGGCAATGCTAGTTTTAAAGTCAATAAAAGGATGAGAAAAACAAGATTTGCCATTCCAAATTATGTCTCCATTTTTTTCAAAATTCTCGAGCTTGAGAAAAAAAAAAAAGAAATCTATGCTTCATTCTAATTATCAGTGTTGAAAAGTCAAATGCTTGTTTTCTTTATTTAAACTCATGATGTGCTACAATGAAAGCTGAGTGACAGTTTTGTTGGCAATGGACACAATGTACAGGAGAGAACTTAATCTCATCTGGAAAGCTGCCCAATTTACATTTCTTGCTTGTTGAATTTATGGACTTCTGAATCAAAAGCATCTTTAAGTGGGGAAAAAAGTTCTCAATTGTTGGTACTGGGGCTCTGGATGGCTAAGATATTAATACCTAGAATACCACTGTAAATTTGCACAATGTTGTTCCTTCTTAGGGTTGGACGCTTTCAGTGGAAGTTCTCACCACTTTTCTGTGGAAGAAGATAAAATGCTATCTGAACTAAAGTGGGGATCCCAACAGACAAAGAAGTCCTTATCAAGTAACAGAATTTATAGTAAAGATCATGAGCAGAACCCAGATACAGACGGCACGTTAGAAAACCTGTCTGGACACTCCCTAATGAGGTAACATGAACCTTAAAAGACTCCGTGCAAATATAGCTAAGCTTGGTAGTGTTATGGCATGTTATAAAAAATGGCTGTGTCTTTGCAAAATCGCAGTAAAAGAAATTATGGACTGTTAGTAAGATGAGTATGCAAAACATGGTTCTTTCCCCTGTATTTTAAATATGAAAGACCAAAGTAGATGGCTGCAGTAAGAGAAAATACAAAACGGTGATTCCTCCCCTTTGTTTCGGTATGGATAAGTGGCCAACAGAGGTATCCTGTCAGCTTCGGTACCTTAAGCATTGAAATACAAGTTTCGTTTTCCGCTTCTACAAATGGTCCAGAAGAAGGGGGCGAGGTGAGGCAGGAGGGACATGGTCAGTCAATCTGTCATCTTGCTCTTTTCGGTAGGATCCACAGATGTTTTTGGCTAGACTTGTGTTCAGCTACTACTCACTTACGAGTGAGTTGATTCTTTTTCAGAGATGAGCTGATCCTCAGAAGAGAGTGCAGAAAAAGAGGAAGGAAAAAATACTGATCTTCTGTTGCATCCTCTGTATGTCTAGATGTGAGCCAATTGTGCAGTGAGGATGGTTATGAATTGCTCAGCTTAGTTTTCACTGCATTTTTTTCTATAAAGCAACAAATAATATGAATGGTCTCTCACTCCCTCTGTGTGGGTAAAGAGTGGATCTGAGGTATTGACTTATATTGGTGACTTTCACTGATATCCAGTCCTGTGACCTCCTAAGATGGGCCTAATAAGGCAGAACAACTTCCTAAGGGATTTAAGCAGCCACTGTTAATCGTCTTTGGCTTAATAAAATTGCAATAGTGAATTTAAGAAGTGTCTACATCATTTTCTGTATGGTTCTAAAGCTATGTCTTCAACTGTCTCTTAAGAAGAAATGTTTCTGTAGTAATTTACTGTTTAAGTCAAGTTTTGACCTTCAAGCATTTCACTGCATTTTGGTGAAAGAGACAGACGTGGAGCAGTGGCTTATAGCCTTCAGTTACATCCATATGCTGGTAGTAACCGGTTTGCTTTTTAAAAATACCATTCATCGTATTATGATATAAAAATATTGCCCTAATTTTCTGTGGGTAAAACAAAGTTCTTCGCTCAGACTCTCAGATCACATGTGTAAAGGCACACGCAGGTGAGTGAATCCTGCAATGCCAGGTTCCTAACAGGAGGCATTGAAACTGCCTGCCTGTTCGTGTAAAACACGGGGATGTTCTGTTGGGTTTTTTTTTTGTTGGTGTGTGCTAACTGGGTTTTATACCTGGGGGGAAAATAGGGCGCTTCAGAAACTTTAAACTGGGATATAGGGACAAAAGCCATCTCACGCAGTCACTTCCTAAAGGCAGGCTAGGCCTGTGCAAACTATAAAAGTCTGCCTTTTGCGTGGATCTGTTTGGTATATATAAATTAAAGAACTAGGTTATTGCTTTGTCTTGTCAAATGGCTGGACTTAGGAGAATATTGACTCTTTCTTATTTTTTGTTTCATTCAGTTTCTCAGACAAGGGAAGGTCTCCGAAGACACCAACTTCTTCCCCATCTCCCGGTTCCCAAAAACTGTTGCAGTGTGATTCTACAGGCAATGCAGCAGAAAGAGTCGAGTCACCTGCTGGCTTTTCTGGAAGTACAGCATCAGGGCTGAAGCCTAACATACCCTTCCCTGAATTGAGTCTGGGAACTAATAGGTCTGTAGCAGGAGCAGCCTCAGCAAGTGGTGAGTTGTTGTGTTAAAACCACACTAATCCCAGAGCAGTTATATGTTTGTTTTCTTTATTTTTTTGACGTGGGGCATTAAAGTCTATGGAGGTGGACTAGTAAGTCTTATTCTGCAGGATGTATGCGCTTCTCCCCTGCTGGTCTTCAGCATCGTTTGTCAGCAGAACTGAACTACCTTAGTGCTATTGAGGAGTCTGTGCGACAGCTTTCGGACGTAGAACGAGTACGAGGCATATCGCTTGCCCAGCAAGAGAGCGTTTCTTTGGCTCAGATTCTAAAGGTAATGGGACAAATACTTGCTTGTCTTAACCTTCCTTTTAAATAATTTTATTTTTATTTTGCAAGAAAATTAATCAAATTAGGGTGAGTTATGCTTTTGTAGCAATGCAGAGAAATCGTAATGGGCATGGTGGAGCATTTCTGATAATGTTCATTTTTTAGGATTAATGTCTGTTATCTTCCTTATTTTAAGTTGACACCAAGGAACTGGTGACTCCAGAATATGCGACATTAATATGCCACTGGCTGGAATCACTGCTTTGGTTGTGTACTTCAGTAAAATGAAAACTTGATTATTTACTGGGTTTGATGTTGAGTCCCGGTGCCGTGCAGTGTAGTTGTACAGGGTGGCTCGTTTGTCCTGTTTCATGAAAATGATATTTTTGGTTGAAATTTCCTTATCTTGACAAGATTTCTTGTTCTCGTTTGCTGAATTAATTGGTCTCCTAAATCCTGTTTCTACGATGTAGTGGGAGAGCATGGGGAACCATGCGTTGTCTACTTAAAGAGGGAGAGGGTCAGGCAGTAGGCTGAAAGTTTTACTTTAGCAGAAGAGCCACCACCAGTAGAGTAGCTGTAGTTCTTTCACAGGCAGTTGCAGCCAGTGGCTAAGGCAAAACAGGTCTTTACATCTAACTTGCATGATTAAAACTTGTTTTCCTAATCTGTAGGCACAGCAGGAGCTCCATGAACGGGACTTGGCTCTTTTGAAAATCAAGGCCAAACAAGAAGCTTTAGACAGTCAGAGGCAACTGGACGAGACAAGGCAGAAGGCAGCTCAGGTAATGCTGTCCTTCAAAAAATGTGCAGTGTGTAAGAGGCAAAATGCTGTAAGTAAATCCGTGCCTATGAGTGTTCTTAATTTGAAGCTCTGAACATACAGAAGTGGTGAAGGGGGTTAATATAGCGGAAAAAAGCTCTTAGGGGCCAATTTAAAACTTCTTTCCTCCAGATTTTGAGAAATAACTCTAGTTGTTATAACCAGAAAATTTTGAAGAGCTGAACTGGCTGTGTTTCCTGCATAGTTCCACGCAGAGTCACTGCAGCATCTGGTCCAGTCACGGCAGGAGGCTGTACAAGAGACCCCATGCAAGACTGCAGCCAAGCAGGCAGAAGTTGCACTTGTTGCTACAGATGCAGCCCACCAGATGTGTGAGGTGAGGTTCTGAGTAAGAGGAAAAAGCTATTCTAATGTCAGTGTTATTCAGAATATTTTTCTTTGTCTCTGGGTTATTCTCTGTTCAGTGTCATTCTCAGTGCAACTTCTTCACCCTGACATGACATAGATAGAGCTTTAAAGGAGCTTTCCTGGCATAGTTACTTAGAAGTCAGTTGGCAGGCTTAAATCCCTGTTCACTGTTCTTACGATCTTCCAGTTAATGAACTGTTAAGAAGTTGTTGTTTTTCCAGGATAAACTGATGCTAGTGAACACAACATCTTTAATTTGTTAGAGTTACGCTCCATGAGGGATTGATCCTATATGAGTTTCATATGCAAATTAAAAGAAAAAAGAGAGGGGAGGATCTTCAGCAGATCGTTTAACTTCTTACAAAGCTTGAAGTTTTCTGAGTCTCTTCATTCTTCTTGTGACATACAGAATTTTTATTCTTTTTCAGTTTTTATCTGTCAGTTTATCAGTTTTTATACTTGTTGTTCCCAACATGTAGCAGCTGCTCACACATAACTGAGAAACACGTAACCAAAAAATGCTTTTGGTTCTTCATAGTTTAGCAATTGCAATGACTGTGAATTAGGGTTATGGAGTGCAGAAGGCTGATGGTTATGTTCATAACTGTTTCTTCACAGCTTACGAATATGTTGGTGCTCAGGCAGTTTTTATGATGGGTAATGGCACTGTAGAATAATACTGATGTAGTTGTTCTGGGCTTTGCCAAATATGCAAAGTTTAAATAATTTTTGTATAGACAGGAATGGGTTAGGTTAAAGGAGCAGAAAAGCTCAGGCATCTGAGTTACATGCAGTGGTTGTTGATAGCAGGTAGTGAAGTCTTGGATAGTTTGTAGAGCCGAGGTGAGTGAAAAGCAATTATGAAATAAGGTAAAAGAAACAAAGACAACTTTTATTTGATGTAGGCTTTTAATCTCTTGTCTTGCTCTAACTTTGAAGTCTGAGAGCAAGAGGTTCATGGGGAGAGGTTCATGGGGGTAATGTGGTCATTGATGATGGGCTAGCAGAGTAGAATTTCCATTCATATTCAGAATTGACTGCTGATATTCACTTGCTTTTACAAAATTGTGTGCATTACAATTAATACAGAAATTACATGAAGAATTAATTAAGTAGCTCAGTATGTTTATTGGAAGTTCTTGAAATACAGTTT